ATTTTGTAGAGCTCGCCAAGCTCTATCGAACCATGTAAAAACATCAAAAGAACATACTACAATCCATTTTTGAATTGCTGACGCTCTAGTTTTCTGTCCCAAAAAAGCAAACAATTTTTAAAGTTCTGCATAAAAATGTTTTGATAACCCTCACAATTTAGTATCAAAAAATCCCATTTTCGACGCGCTTTAATTTGGTACAAAATTAGTTATATATGCTATTTAAAATTATAGCGTTACTCCCTGGAAAAACATTTTTACCCACCCTGTATAGCAGAGATATCATTGACAAACCTCCGAGACAATAGGTCTTACGTGCTACGCTGCATCGGTGTGGCCTTGAAAAAACAATGAGCACAGCATATTTTCCTATACGTTTCGGCATGACTTTGTAGCTCTTGAAAAGCTTTGTCCACCCAAAAACTGTCGTTTTTTTTCATTGAAAAGACTCGTGATTATAAGCACTACAACGAACTATAATGGGTTCAAATCTCTTCTGGAAAAGACTACTAGAATATTACATAGAATCTAATAACTGGTGTTCAAGAGAATCGTTTATGCGCAGTTAGAGCGGCTCAGAGATGTAGGGAGAAGCATAAATAATACAATGGAACTGTTTTCTAAAGCGATTTTCATTTAGGACCAATTTGTGGACAAACTGGGTGTGAGTGTGGGTACGGATTGTTATGTAGGCTTCAACTGCACAAATCCACATTCCACACTGTCACTCACACCCACACCTGTCCACACCCTAGTATTACCAAATGCATTTGGCAAGCTTTCAGAAAGGTCATGCTTGAGTAGTTTTGAAGGATATTCTATGGCCTAATTGTGCTGAAAACATGAAGGTGGAATCTATTGTAATAATCGAGATCGAAGTGAATCATTTGTTCAATCCTTATAAATATGACCTGTCGGGATCAATATGGTATTAGCAAGATCCATTGGACAAGCTTTCAGAAAGGCCATGTTCGAGTAGTTTTGAAGGATATTCTATAGCCTACTTATGCTGAAAAACTGGTGGCGAAGTCTTGTGACATAATAGATGTCGAAGTTATATAAGTCTGGCCTGAGCTGCTTATATAACTTCTATGATATGCACGGAAAAATCAATAAGAAAATCGCTATTATTAGCAAAACTATAGTGTACATGTTTAGTGGACTTTATTAGCTTCGTAATTATATATAATTGGCGGGTGTTGTGTTAGTATTTTCAAATAGGACCAATTTCGCTAGGAAATCCACCCCGATCCTTTACGATTTTGCATCATCTATATTGTGAAGACAAATGGAACGCGAAAAGCAGACAGTTTCGTCAAAGATTTCGTTTTCGATTTAAAGTTATTGTTTCGATCATTCCACGAGCGAGCTGGCCGAACTGACTAAATCTTTTTACGTCACTATCAGTTCTAGTTTTCAAAAATTCAACCTAGTTCCGTCTCTTTATCAGGTATCTGATACAACTTCGCAAATCAAGTTTGTCACCCAATAAACCATGTTCTCCATACTACGCCGGTCTTATCTGACTGCACAGTATCGATGCATCATATGTTATTCGTAGACTGGTTGGTCACCGATAGACCGTCCGGTCTGACTTTTTCAGACCGATATCGGTAACTGTCTGAAGTTAGGAGACCACTAATGAAACACCGTGGCGTTTACAAGATGTGATTATTAAGTAAGAAAAGCAATCTACGCTCAATGCGCAGTAGCTTCAGCCATAAAAAATGATGACTTAGAGCCACCCATTCAGCTCTTGACTACTTGGAAAACGCTTGTTGTTAGTCAAGCTTACTATCTTTAATAAAAGAACTCCCTGAAAACCTCTTTTAAGAGAATCGCTCATGTGATCTCTCCGTAAAAATTTTTGAATAACCCGAGGATCCAAAATTGAAAAAAATTTTGACCTAAACATGTACCTGCAGCATTCAGTGGGTAAGGATGGGGGCGCATAAGAACAGGAATCGGTCTACACATGGATTCACAAAACAAGTTTATTTTCTGATACAGAATTTTACGCTGAATCTTTTGATGCCAAATTCAATCTATTTTCGAAATCCTTTGATGCCCTCCGGCCCATGCCAATTATACCCTACTTTTTATCAGTCCAGAGAGGTTACGTTTACCACAACATAATCTGATATAGCTTCAAATAGACTCATCTGAAAGAGCATCAAATTCTGCACAAAATCATATACGAACCAAACATAAATAATTACCCTCAGCAAAATTTCTAAGTAAATACTATATTTCACGCACTTTTTTCGGACGTCGCAGACTTTCACGCAGACCAATCCCTTAGGAATTGGTCCTACAATGAACTTTCATGTTAAGGTTCAGATGCAGTTTTTGACGGGCTTCACGATAGTATAATTTTTTTCTCAAAATTTCATTGACCAAAAAATCTCGCAGGGATAATACTGCCCAAAACAGTGATTTTTTCCAACAGATCGTTCTGTTTGGGTTGCAAAGTGCTTAAGAAATGTCTTTACAACGGACGTTCCTACTCAGGGTCAAATGCAGTTTTCGACGGGCTTCACGACAGTATGGTTTTTTCCGCAAATTTTCACAGGGTAGGTGTGGGTGTGAGGGTAGTGATCCTCTCTTCATCCACACCCCAACCACACCTACACCTCACACCCACCCCATCCACACCCACCCACCCACGCCCACACACACCCACACCCCACACCCACCGCACACCCGCACCCACACTCCACACCCACAGTACACACCCACACTCCACCCACCCCACAGCCACACCCTTTTCGGAAGATAGGTGAAGGAAGCTTGAAGAGTTCATTTTACTTTCAGAAAAAAGCTGCCAACAAACTTGATTCATTCATTAGAAGTCGTCTTTTGGAATTTCTTCTAGTTATTTTATCATTTTAATTAATATATTACAGATCTGCAGATATATCCAAAGAAATAGTACAACGCTAAATAATGGGTGAGGAAATTCAGAAAGTTAAAAAAGCGATAGCATTGAATCATACGATAGTGTTTGTTGGTACTGGCGTATCCCGCTATACAAACAATAATGAGCAAGAAGTTGCAAGTTGGATTGGTTTGTTAAAAGATGGACTTCAAAGATGTCACCGATCTGGATGGATAAGTGACAAAGACTTCGATTATTTCCTTAAAAAGTTCACCACTCATGAAGCAATGATTGATGATTATTTAGCTGCTGCCGATCGAATAAAAGTGTGCTTTGAGAAAGAAAATGAAGAACAGAAGAATGACCCTTACAAAGTATGGTTACAAGAAACAGTTGGAAAACTGTTGCCTAAGAAAATTGAACTTATTGAAGCTATCGGAGAACTAGGATGCCCGATTTTGACAACAAATTATGATCCATTGCTTGAAAGCATACTGAAGAAAAAGCCTCTTACTTGGAATAAATACAAAACTGATGGTATTGGTGATTCACCTGAGGATTTGAAAAACTTTATTTTACATGTGCATGGATATTATGAAGAACCGGAGAGTGTAGTTTTTGATAGCAACGATTATAAAAAGATTCTTGAAAATGATTTTGCACAATCGAAGTTGAAGGCACTTATGGAGATGAAAATTTTGTTATTCATTGGATACGGAGCTGGTATGTCTGATCCGAACTTTTCCAATCTACTACAATGGAAATTTCAAGTGGCAGGTCAAAAGGCGTTTCCAATATATAAGATCGTCAAAGCGAATAAAGAAAAAACCCTAAATCCAGGTTCAGACGTTTCATTTTTAGAAAATATTAAAGAAATTGCATATGGTGAGAACCATGCAGATTTGTTAAAGTTTATAAGGAACTTGAAATCGTTCACTCCACTACTTTATGGAAGTTTATTAGTCACAGATGAAAAAGAAACTATTCGTAAAAAATATCTCAATTATGTTATTAAGGAATATGGAGATGTATCAATCTTTGGATATTCTAAGACTAATATGGTTTTACCATTAGCATCTGTTTATGTAGAATTAAAATTCGATCCAACACATCCATCAATTAGAGCAATGAAAACACTCGAAGTCACTGAAGAATTCAAGCGCAAACTTCTATCTCACAATTTCTTTAATGAAAATGAATCAAAAAAACTAAACATAGCGATTATGCAAGCAAATATGTACAATTGTCAAACAATCTATAGAGATTTTATGATTGAACAATGGTTAAATGTTTTGTTAACTAATAAAAAGATATTTACTGACGAGGAAGCTGAATCCATTAAAACTAAAGTTAATCAACTAAAGAAAAGTATTCTTGAAAAATCTGAACTTAAAGAAACAAAACAATATCAAATACAACAAGCCTACAATGAGTTTAGACATTTTGTAATCGTTGGCCATCCTGGTTCAGGCAAAACTACACTCTCAAAATGGTTGGTTATGAATATGGCAAAACAATGTTTGGGTGAAAAGAGTATGTTATCCAACAACTCATTCTCTACTACAAACAAACTACCTATTCTCATACCTATATGGAAATATGTTGATCAATCAAAAGAAAATCAAAATCAGCGAAAAAGAACTTTGTTAGAATTTATCTATGGAAATCCTACATTTAATTCAAGTTATTTTCAAGAAGAAGAACGCAAAATATTATCATCATTGATCAAACAAGCCTTAGTGCAGGGTGATGTGTTGATTATTTTCGAGGGACTAGATGAAGTTCCTGCTCATATTGATCGATCGGATTTGATGAAAGAAATAAACGATTTATTAGAACGGGGAATTGATTATGATCCAAAACTTGATAAACTTTCTTATTCAGTTTTTGACCGAAAGGAAATCAATAGTGCTAACGATGCTGGTGTTGGAAATCGATTTATAATAACCAGTCGTATTGAAGGAAATTATTTTGATCAAATAAATTATTATGTTCCAAGATTAACTATTGAAGATATGTCTAATGATGCTCTCAAATCGTTTTGTAATGCTTATATGGAATGTATTAAAGAAATTAATGTTAAAACTGGTAGACAAATGAAAGAATATAAAAAGGATCAATTATATAATGAAATAACGAAGAATAAAGATATTTTTCAACTAGCAATTAATCCACAATTAGCCAGTGTGATAGCTGCTATTTATAATCAATATGACGATAAGTTACCTGATAAACGTATTGATTTGTATGAAAAAGCCATAGGCAAGATGATTGAAAGATTAACTACTGTCTCCACTGTTTCTTCAACAAGTTATATAAGTAAAGAACTTGGATTGAATAGCACAATATTATGGTCAATAATGCAAGAAATAGCCGAATATTTACATAATAAAGTCGAAGGACTAGGAGAAAAAATTTTGAGAGAAATTATAAGAAAATCTTTATTAGAATCTTTCAAGCAGTCTAGTAAGAATCCTGACATGAACATTGATGAGTTAATTTCAAGACTTGTTGATATTTTGAAATACCAAGCAGGTTTATTAAGTGAATTTGGTCATAATAGTTTTCGATTTATACATCGTACATTTCAGGAATATCTTGCAGCTAAAAGTATCATCTATTTCAATGGAGTAGAACGAAGTGAAGAAATTATCTGTAAAAATATTAAAGATAAAATTGCTAATCCAAATTGGAGAGTGCCTCTTAGTATGACATTTGGAATATTAAGTAAATCAAGTGAATACAATGATTTATTTAAGAATATCATTACAAGATTATTTAATGATGAACAAGCTTCAACAAATATACGGTTTTCTACTTCTTTAATACCATATGTCATTATTGATTCATTAAGTGACATGAACTTTTCATCAAAAGAAACTGAACGTGAAGTAATTCAAAGATTATTGGGATTGTTGCTAATTGATTATAAAAACCTGTCTGGTTTTTCAAAGTTAAAAGAACATCAGGAATTGATTCAATCATATATATCGAAATTGAGGAAAAATTATGAAAATTTGACACTGGAATGGTTTCTGCAAATGATGAATGACACGGAAAATATTGCACCATGTGCAAATATTGTTTATCAGCTAAAATGGTATAATTCTAAACTTCATGAAATATTTTTAAAAAACTTAGATAATGATTCACCATTATGGAATTGGCCTGTAGATTCAATCTTACGATTTTATTCACACGATATCGATGATGAATCCGTTATGACACAATTAAAATTTAAAAGTGCGTTGACTATAAATTCAGACATTTTGAAATACATAGAAAGAAATATGGATTGGCTATGTGTTATCGTATCTCTTTATGGTGGATACAAAAATTACAATACTCAAGGAACTATTCGAGAATACTATGAAATTGCTCAATTTCTTCAACTAAGCAATAATCAGAGGGCACCATTCACCTTTTATTATCAAGAAGTATGGGGCCGTGATGACCCAGCCTATAGCATGGCTGTGTATCTTGACACAAAGATATCTAAGGAACGTTGGAGTGAAAAGCCAAGATTTGATAAGAACGAAATCTACAAAGAATCGTTGCTGACGCCAAAGATTCTAGAAGGACTGATAGAAGAAAAATCTACAACCGATTTAAAACAAGAACTAAGACAGCACATTAATTTGGGATCATTATCTCCAGGAGAAATAATGGATACATTGATTGCATTGATCGCCCTTGAAGATTTCGATTTTATTAATACTATTATTAAAGAAAAAGACCAAATATTTACTAAAAGCTTTGGCAATAGAATAGAACAATTAATTTGCAGTTTAAAAGACCCGATTGCCAGATGTTCTTCACAAATGTCAAACTATCTACTTTCAGTTCACAATACTATAAGAGAAAATCAACTTAAATTGAACATTAACTTTGTGGATTATTGTAAAATATATCTGACGTTAATAAAGTATTGCGGTGGACTGCCAGTCGACACAAACAAAATTGCAGACAAAATGGATAAAGTTGAATACAAGCATGCTTTACACGCAGAACATATTGCTTTCACGTTCACAGGGGCCTCCGACGATACACGATATAATGTTGCAGTGACTTTAGACACTAATTTTGGTTCAGACAGTAGTGATGAAATAATCCAATCACTTATAAGAATTAATGAAAGTGTACAGATTTATCAACCAGTTCGAACATATACATGGCCTACAGATATATTTACTTTTAAGTGGAAAAACAAAGATGATTTACCAATATCTTTGCTGAATTGTTTAGAAAATATGCATAGAGACGTTGCATTTGCAGTAGGAGGTGTTTCTCAATTTCTGTTGGCGAAAGACTATTTCAATAGAAATCCCGATTTAATTCCAATAATCTTATTACTAAATTTCGGAACTATGTCAAAAGATGTTGATCATCGTGAGTTATGCAAAACTTTACTTCCTGAATTTTCAGATGAGTTGAACATTAAAGAACTTTTGCTTGAAAAAATTCAAGCAATAACGAATCCTTATTATAAATCAAGAGCATTGAGTCAATATGCTCAATTTTGTGATGAGAAAAGTTATGAGTTTTTGTGTGAATCTTTCAACTTGACAAAGACAATTCCAGATCCAACGTTGAAGTTTCAAGTTTTCGAAAAAATTTTTAGCATCGTTCACTACAAGGAAATAAAGCAGAAAACACTTATCAATGAAATAGTCAAAGAACTAATTTTATCTTTTGACAGCATTAATGATAATTATGATCGAGTTATTGCATCAATAAGATTATCATTTTATGGATTACAAGATTTTCGAAAAAAGTATTTAGCAATCGCAATAGAAACACTTAAAAAAATGAACGAAGAAGAAGAAGAAGAAGACAAAGTTAAATTAATTGCTAAAATAAAGCCATTAATTATGATCTACAACGATCTTCATACCAATTTGACTGATATTACAAATAATCTAAAAAGTAAAAGCAATACTTATTTAGTTGATGGGTATTATGGCAGAATATTATCTACTGAAAAAAATAAACCTCGGCTCTTCATACTTAAATTCTTTGACAAGCGAAAAGCTTGAAAAAGAAAATGAAAACAAGAAAGATGAACATGTTTGTAATGATAATGTTAATGAAACTAATAAAAATAAAGACATTCCTAATAATAACGATAATGAAACCAAGAAAAATGAAGAAGTTTATAATGGTATTGATAAAGAAGGTAATAAAAATCAAGATATTTCCGATAATATTGATAATGGAATCAAAACAACAGAAGATACTGTTAATAATATAGATAATAAAAACGAACAAGATGATGATTTTTTATATGATTTTCCTGATGAAACTGAAAAATTTGAAGATTCATTGCATAACGATCAATATAAAAGTGAACAAAATGAAGACATGTCCAGTTGTCCTGAAATGGAAGCATTATTTATGCTTTTTGCACAATTGAGTGATATCAAGTTATCGATTGACAAAACAGACTATTTGAATGGGCTTTGGATTAATCTTTATAATGATGCTAATAAACAGTCAAATACGGAAAAAATATTGGAAATAGCATTAGATACAGAATTATTTTTGACTCCTCAAGTAGCCATTATTATTGATGAATTAGTAAGAAACGGAAAAGAAAATAGCATATCAATTCTCTTTCCATATATAATAAAACCATCAAATGAAGTATTACCCATAGTTCATAGATGGTTCACCGATTATAATAACAATCAAATTAAGAAATTGGCAGCATTATTACTTACTGAAGCAAAATATGTTTTTGAGAGTACGCTTAATTCTATTATCGATTTATTGAAAAGTGACAATGATCAAATGAGGTATAGAGCACAAAGAGTTTTTCAACATCCATATCGAGATGTCGAGGAGCCTAGTAAGAGAATATCAGTCATAGGAGAAAAAACCTTAATGAAAATTCTACAAAACAGATTGATGAAAGAGCATCTTCCACGAGTTCGTACCTATCTCAATACCTTTTTCAATGACTTACTTTGGGATGATCCTAAAGTGTTTCAAAATCTATACACAAATGTCTCAAAACTGAAAGAAATAAATTCTGCTAGCGGAAAAAGAATGGCGTTTTTTGACGAGATTTGTTTTATTAACAACAACACTTGGAAGTCAGTAATGCAGACATTGAAAACTCCATCACATCCGTCATATATTGAAGATTTATTGCAATCAATAATGTATTTGTTGCATCGGAGTCCAGTTATGGAAGAAGATTGGACAGAGTTTGCTGAAGTATTATCAACAACAGATACAAGTCAATTTAAAAACCAATTATATTTTAACGTCAGAGATGTAGACATTATGAGGTATATTCTGGATGAAGTTTGCGGCTTACCAAATATAATTGAGGAAACTTCTTTTCAGCTTATGGAAGCAAGCTTAGTCAGTACACTAACTGTCAAAATTGAAAATCTCGCACAAAGCCGTGTTTCGATGATTGAAAGCATTGGTAACAGTAATTTTTTCACCTCAACAGAAGATCTCAATCAAGCAGCATTAGATATGTTAGGTGAATTTCCAATCAACATTGATATAATAAGAGTTTTAATAAAATGGTGTATTCAAAAAATGGTGAATTTCAAGGGTTTCGATGATACATGGTTTTCAATGTTCTTGTGTGCAAATCTGTTGTCATTGGTTTCTGCATGCGCTCAAAAAGAAGATTATTTATATCGGAAAATTACAAATGCTCCAGATTTCGATAAAACGCAAATGATTAAACTTTTGGAGAAGATGTTGAATAACCATCCGTTCTTCTTTGCACGAGGCAGTGCTTTCATTTTACTTTCGGCGATGGAAAACTCTGATCAGACGGTAATCATAACTGCAATGAATGCATTATTCGATGAAAATGTGGTTAAAGAATACACAATAATTGGAATTCCTTTGATTAATTTATCACCAGATGAATTTGTTGATGGCTTATTAAAGTCCTTAAAAAGTGAAAGTGCTATAAAAGCATACGAAATATTAAAAATTTTGACACAATATGCTTTAAATGAGAAAATCGATGCTAATTCGAAATCAAAGATAATAAATTATCTAGGACAAGATATCGAAGAATTGAAATCAAAAAAGCCAATCAGTTACTATTATAGAGATATTAAAATTCCTTTTACGACCACATTGGAAAATGAATTATATAAAACATGGATTAAAATACAAGGACTCTCCGGCAAAACACAATATAATACAACTACTGAAGCATCAAAAGAATGATATTACTTCGGCTCGAATAATGTTTCATTTACATGAAGTAATAATATTACTTTATGAACAAATAATTTTTATTATTTTTTCACTTTAAATATATACAGTAAAACCTCTATTACTGAACACCTCTCCTTTATGAACAACCCGTCATAGTGAACACCCTCCGGTCCCCCCGAGCGATTTTTGCTGGTTTTGACCCCCTCCTTAGTGAATCCCTCGCGATTCTGAATGTGAACACTTTTTTGAGGTCCCGACTGTATATATTAACCTCGTCAATATGAACACATCAAAAGAGAGCGCTAATTAGATAAAGTGTATAATCGTAGCTGAGACAATAATTATCATGAATTTGATTGGTTCCAAGATTGTATCTAATAAAAACGAAGAAGAGAATTTAAAAAAGGAGACATACAAGTGTCATTTATAATCTTAAATAGTCGTCAATATTCGTCAATCAAATATGACATTACGAAATGATCTTACATTAGAACAAAAATAAATTTAATAAGAGAGAGTGGACGCGGTTTGTCCTGTAGAAAGTTGAAAGAAAAATTCCAAATTTTCCTTGGCTGTCTATCAAATATTCTAAAACAAAAACATGAATATGTTAATGATTATGAATGTAATCATAATAAGAAGTTAAAGTGAAAGATGAAGAATGGTCTTAATCAAAAAATCAGTGATAATGTTTATGAATGGTTTGTTGGTCAACGATCAAAAAACCTCCAATATCTGGTCCTGTTTTATACAACTTCAATCCAAGCTTGTTGATATATATTAAATCTAAATGTTTCCAAATAAAGAACCGTTCATGATTTTTTAAAGCCTGTCTAAAAAAGATCTATATGTGGTATTTGAACTTAATTTAATTAGAAGTATGTGCAGTGTTAAAATAGTAAAAAACTATTAAATAAATATAACAAAAAGTATTTAAAATGAGACGAAAGATAATAAAACAAGTAACGTTCATCGTCAAGCGATTCACTTAGCCCTAGACTGATAGAATACATGTACGGATGTAATAGCATAAAAAGCTACATTAAAAAAGTAATACGCAAAATTGATAATATGACCAGTATATCTTAGGCGAGCAGAAAACTTAATTTGGACAATTCTCACTCTAAGTAAAGATGATGCATTTACAAATTTAATTTTTTTTCTCGTTTTTGTTTTATTTTTTTTTTGCTTTTATAAAAATAAATAGCGCCTAATAAGATTAGACAACAATACGATTTTTTTAATAATTATATTGGCGCTATCTGTACGTACAAAAATATGAATTATATTATTCATAAAATTTGAGTTTTATTAATCAATATTTTATGCTTAAATTCGCGCATTAATTCTAAACTATTAATAAATTAGATATTCATTGATACAACATTGCACAATCAATCCTACAATAATGAATAATTTAAACGATTTCTTTAAATCCATACTGATCATTTGGTCTGACTCTGACTAATTAAATGCTTTTGTAAGCCGTTTTACACCACTACCCGAATTATAGTTATTCCATTGACATTTTACCCATGATTACTATGGGTTCATTTACATCAGTCTTTAGATGGTCATTTGTACCATAGTTACCGAAATAGTTGTTTGTATCATGGTTGCTATATGGTTACCTGTGCCATAGTTACGTGGCCGTTTGTGCCAAAAAAATGGTCACTTGTGCCAAAAAAATGGTCGTTT